CCCCCCTCCCCAGGGCTGGGCACGGACCTCAGTGTCACCACGCAATCGGGGGACGCCCCCACCAAGGAGCGGGACCCCGAGAGGGGGCGGCCCAAGGACCGGCGGCACCGGCACCACCACCACCACCACCACCACCACCACCACGGAGGGGGCGCCGGGGGGGACCGCGAGCGCTGCGTGCCCCCCCCCGAGCGCCACGACTACGGGCGGCCCCGCTCCCGGGACCGCCGCTGGTCCCGCTCCCCCAGCGAGGGCCGGGAACACGCGGCCCCCCGCCAGGTGGGTGCCCCCCTCCGTTCCCCCCCCCTCCGCCTCTAGGACCCCCCGCCCCACCCGCCATGGGGGGGGGGACAAGGGCTGCACCCCCGGTGTCTTCAACCAAAGACCCCCCCCCCTCAATTCCCCGGGGTGGGTGCTGCTCAGGCTAGGGGGGGGTGGGAGGGGACCCCCTCCCCACACACACTCCGAGGGTCTGTCTGGGTGAGGGAGGGGGTTCCAGAGCCCCCCACCCCGCCCGTTCTGCCTGCCCCAGTTCGGTACTGGTGGCATCCCAGTTACACCAGCAGAGCCCCCTCAGCGCTCCACCTCGGGGTGCGGGGTCCAGCCCCTCCCGCCTTGGGGGGGTCCAGCCCTGATTTTGGGGATCCAGCCCCCCCTCCCCCCCCTCCTCGGGGGTCCAGCTCCCCCAGGAGGGGCAGCACCCAATGGGAGGGCGATGGGAGGGGGGGGGAGGCGGCGGCGACGCTTGGACCCCTCCGGATGCGCCCCCTCCCCACTCCCTGCTCTCGGCCCCCCCCGCGCCCCCCCTGCCCGCACAGAGCCCCCCTCGCTTGGCCCCCCCGGCCCCCCCGGCTGCTTGGGGGGGCCCTGCCTTGATTCACCTCTCTGTTTCCCCATCGCTGTGCTTTGGCTGCGCTGTCACGGCGAGGGGTGGCCCAGGTAAGCGGCTCGGGGCCCCCCAAAATCTGCTCCGGCCCCCCCAGGCTCCGGCCACCCTGGAAAGTTTGGAATGAAGCTGCCTCCCCCCCAAAAAAAAACCCAAAAAACAAAACGGCTGCGACTCCAAGAGGAGCTGCTTGGCCACTCCGGGATGTTTTGGGGTGCCCTCCACATCGCCCCATTTATACCCCCCCTAAAAGGACCCCGGAACTCCCGAGACCAAAATTGGGCTGCAGGGACCCCCTCCCACCCCTGTTCTGGGATGCACCCTTGAATCAGGGGTCTGAGCCCCCCCCAATTGGGTTTGGGGGCTCCCCCATAGTCCGGAGGGGGAGGCACAGAGCCTGTGCTGAGATTTGGGGGTGCACAGGCCCCCTCCCCCCCCGGCAAGAGATGGGTCTGGGGTCCTCAGCACCCCCGTTCAGGGACCCCCCGATGTCTGAACTGGGGGTGACAGTCCCAGCCTGGCATCGGGGAGTCCCGTGCAGGGCGAGGACCCCACCAGACTCCCCCAAACGCGGAACAATTGGGAGTTCACCCCCAAACCCCCTCCCCTCCATGTGGGGGGGGGATAACGCTCCCCAGCACCCCCAGATTTGGGGTACCGAGTTCCCCCCACCCCGGG